TTACTATAGGAGTTGATTTTGGCGGTTGCTTTTTGGGTGATTTCTCAACTGGCGACATTGCGTTTGAACAAGGGGAACGGGTTTCTTCCCTTCGTAAGCTCTCGATCGACGGCTGCCCCATGGATGAATCTTGGCACAGTGGCATCCCATGGGATGCGCTCGAAGAAATATATTTTTCGCGCTTTCCCGCCATCCTCCACACTCAAGTCGACCAGATGCACAATCTTCGCTCCGCCAAGCTGATTGGTAAAGTCTACTGGAATACTGAGGAAGAGCGTTTGCAGATCGCACGACCAATCAGCGATTTCCTTCTTCGTCTCCCTTCTGTTCTAGAGGAGCTTGACCTGGAGGAGCTCACAGGAGACGTCCCAATCTCCACCATTGCCAGGTTTGGAGATTCACTCAAGAGACTCAGGCTTCATGTCCTTGAAAAGTATGACAGGGTTGGGGCGCGACATGTGTTGTCAGCTCAACAGCTGGATAAGATCCGTGTTGCCTGTCCTAGCCTGGAAGAGCTTCAGATTGACATCAATCGTAACAGTGAATGGGTACGTCTGTGGGGTCGCCGCCTCATTAACTATTTTTTGACAGTTCACTCCCAATAACAGCCTTACGATGTCCTGGACGCTGTAGCAGAATTTTCGCAATTGAGAAGGCTCACACTGTCCCTCGAGCTTGGGCTTGAAACGGAGACGTTTGTCAAACCGTACGCCACCCACTACAGCAGCGTCCAGCTTTACAAGTACATAGCATCACATCGACGGAACAGTCATCCACTGGACGAGCTCACTATCGAGTTAGGTGGACACCGTAAATTGGGGACGGGCTACCCATGTTCCTGGGTGTTGTGGGAAATGGACGAGCAAGCGACATACACGGTCAAGCCTTCTGAGCGACTTGAGGATGCCCAAGCAGGTTTGCTTGATGTCTGGAGGAAGAGGGGAATGCTACGTGGAGGCGTTAAACTTTTTTATGGTCCGGTAGGAGGAAATACCGAGGATGACAAGGAGATTGTTGCGCTTCATGAACGACATGGCGAAAAGAACTCAAGATTTGAGCTTTATGGTCTTGACCTCAGTGCATTATAGCATTTGCAACAAAGCAACCACTTACATAACCTATATTTGTCATGAATAGACAACAGACATAGTGATACATCTTCGTCACTGTGATGATAAATTTATGACTGGTGGACGCCGCCTGATGCGGCAGAACCCGCTACTCTTAACCCTGCATGTTCGCTCACTTTCATTTGGCATTGACACTCTCTGCGTAATTCAATCAGTATCTTGATATGATGATGCATTGGTTCTATATGTACTCAACAACGTGTAGTGGAGAATGTCACAGGAAGAATATCCAAACCCTAACCAGCCCAGAACGCCCGTGTAAGTCGCAACCGCGGTTAGAGTATAGGCGGAGCTCCAAGCCCACAAGAGCACTCACCCCGGGGAAGGACATTGGACCCACATCCAGAAACCCAGATTTGAACCGAATGCAGTGCGGCGGACTTGGTGATGACTCAGCTGCATAGGCGGAGAGCCTTACAAACTGGTGAGAAACACCCAGCTTTAACCTTCCCCACAAACAGGCAACATTTTGGGAAGCGGCACTGCATGCAGCCAGAAGATCGTGTCCTCTTAAATCACTTGAACGCCACTGCCTGTGGTGCCACGAAAGCGAACTGTTATCGAAGCGACATGAGTTAGGTGGCCACCAGCTAGGAACACCAGCAACTCGAGTTGTGTCACCTCCGACCGGGTTTTTAATCCAATATGCCACGCACGAATTCAGATTGCACCTGAAACTGAGATTCTGAGTATTCCAAGTCCACTGGAATGGAGTGCTAACAAGGAAATATTCTTTTTGGAAGCCAAAGGAGTGCTGATGGCTTCTTCAGGGAGCAGATTAAACAAGCAGACCCCTCTGGGCGAATTACACGCACACGTGCTATCAGGCAACGGAACACAGCTGTCACCCACAGCTAATGCAGACGGATAAGTTGCATACAAATGAAGGGAGGCGAAGGCAGTGTACGTCGAAAATGGTACTCAGGGTCCCAGTCCGGGTGCGAGGACCACCTGAGCGACTTGTCTAAGATCCAACTCGAACGTCGCAAAGGCGCAGGGACATGAGGCAGGACCATCATGCACCGTAAGTTATTCCCTGAAACGCAGAAGGCACAGCCCCTTCTTCCGTCACGCTATTTCCCTCTTCACTTTGGATGGAGCGGGGGCATACCCACCTGAATTTGATACTTAACTTTGGTGCGCTGCCGGACGTTGTAAGTGATGAATCGAAGAATGCAAGAGGGGAAAGGGGACAAACTCCTTGCTCGTGCCATGCATTGAAACGCGCGGCACGCTGATTACCGTAAGGACCAACGTCGGCCATGGTGGTCACTCCCAAAAAGTCGTACTTGGCCGGTGTATTGCGATCATTGTGTGTTGTCCAAGTACCACGTATAGACTGACCATTCGATGCCGCTGCACTTCGGTAAGCCACCGACCCAGGGTGAATAGCACCCAAGAAGTTAGCAGAGTAGGCATCCATAACTAAGGGCGCAGTTAGTTTTCAGTGTCCTCACGCTCTTTATTAGCGATCTCGACTTGCGCATGAAAAGCTTAAGTTTGTACCCGACCCCGTGGTCACAACTCCGGTCTGGAAGCGAACAGAAGCAAATGGAGTCGAGCGCGATATGAATAGATGAAGGTTACACTAGAGGTGGGACGCGAAAGTGGAGGCAAGTTCGGCCGCAAATAAGGGGGACCCTGGTAACCTATAAGGGCTATGGAGTAGCAGGAATTATCCTTGAAACGTCAATGACGGGGTTGGTCACAGTGGAAAATATATACCATTTTTCGTCTGGTAAAATACGAGCTCAAACACCACCGGAGCAGTGGTAATATACCAATTTGTAAGTAGTAATTGATCAGAAATGGATACCAGACCAGACGTGGTGAATGACATCGATTTTTCTGGTGATGTACGATGTTTTTCGTGGTAAACGGCCATTTTTACCAGATTGGTAATTGGTCATTTATTGATTCATCGTTGGTACTTTACAATCTTTGGCATGGTACAATATGGGTCAGAGAATATTCATTTACGATGTTTTGAACGATAGTTAATACATGCGTATACATGAAGCGTGGTCATCAGAAGTGTGATGCTACAAGTGAATATGTGTCAATGGCAAGGCACAAGCAGGATGGTATCGAGAGAGATTGAATGGGAGCAGCAAAGTCAAGGCACTCTATGTGAAAGAGCATGTAGCAAGTCGGGTAAAGTTAAACGAGTTGGCGATAGCAGTGTAAGAGTGAAATGAGAGTGGATGCAGCAACCAGAGAGAAGTTCTAAAAGGCAACAGTAGTTAGTGTGTGGGTTATGACTTTGGGAGTGGTAAGTGACAGACGACAGCAGGTTAAATCTTTGAACCCCTGGGTGTTGGCATTGCTCTGCCTTTCCCCTTGCTTCTTGCCGTACCAGATGCTCCCTCCTCGATCGCATCACATGATGAGTTGTCGATACGGCTCTTCTTGGACTTTGGGTTGGGGCCTATCATCACCACTTTAACAGCAGTCCTCTTCCTTGTCACTTGAACTGGGTTGGGAGGCTCTTCTTCACCGTCAGTAAGTTGAAACTGGATACGATTGTTTCCTCGGGCATTTGAGGGGATAGTTTCTATTCAAAGAAGACCAGGCATGGGGGCATTGTGATGATGCAAGCGCGATGCAAGAGTTTAATAGGGAAGACATCCATCAGCAAAAAATTGTTATGCTCCTGAGTGCTCCGGAGTATCGAGAGCACTGGGAGAATCAGGAGGAGATTGGCCGGTCCAGGAACAGCCCATTTCCTCCAGACTTGGCTAGGTACTCCAGGGCACTCCCAGGAGGGCCTGGAGCATTGCTTTGTGCACAAACATATCCAGTAAATACAATTTAAATGCTTCAAAGTGTATAGGGGTGAGAAGCTTCTGGGAGCTCCTGGAGCATTTGAAAATGAAAAGGAAAAAAAGAGGGAAGATCCCCATGAATACCTCCTACCACAAGACTAACACAACAAGACACTGCTTAACATTTAGATCAAACACTATACTATATATCAAGGACACTGAGACTCACCAATACACAATCAAAATTTATGGCCTGATATATGATTAATCTGGCAACTTAATCACTTTCGGGCTGGCAGAATATGGGGGAGAATGAGGGGGGGAAATGAGGGGGGAAATGAGGGGGAGAATGAGGGGAGAATGAGGGGAGAATGAGAGGGAGAATGAGGGGGGGAATGAGGGGGGGAATGAGGGGGGAATGAGGGGGGGATATAGAGGGAAATGAGGAAATTTGAAAAATAGGGACTTCTAAAAAGTTGAAAAAAATAATTAGGGAAAAAATAAAAAAAAAATCAGGAACTGTAGTGCCTTTGAAGTGCTTTCAGGATATATAATTATTTGCAAAATCGAGGAAGAAATGATGGAGAAAAATGGAAAATACTTTCGGAGACCCGAGAAATAATGAGAACTGAATTGATGGGAAAGTCTGAAAATTGAATAGGAAAGTGAGGGGAAGCCTTGTAGCATTGTTATTTTCTGCTGTTCTGGTTTTTCCCGATTCTTCTTGGTCTCATTCCCAGCTGCTCCTCAATACTCCTGGAAGCTCCTGAAAGCTCCTGGGAGGGTCCAGGAGCAGCTGGGAGTGAGACCAAGAACAATCAGGAAAAATCAGAACAGCAGAAAATAACAATGCTTACAAGGCTTCCCCTCACTTTCCTATTCAATTTTCAGACTTTCCCATCAATTCAGTTCTCATTATTTCTCGGGTCTCCGAAAGTATTTTCCATTTTTCTCCATCATTTCTTCCTCAATTTTGCAAATAATTATATGTCCTGAAAGCACTTTAAAGGCACTATAGTTCCTGATTTTTTTTTTGATTTTTCCCTAAATTTTTTTTTTTCAACTTTTTAGAGACCAAAATTTTCCTCCCACTGCTCCTGGCACATTACATACTCCTCACCACTCCCAGCTGCTCCTGAACCCCCTCCCAGGAGAACACTATTGGCTCCAGGAGTGCCCAATCTGCTGTTTTGTCTCCCACATGCTCCAGCCACTCTTGATGCTCCGGAGCATAACGGACTTTTGCTGATGTCAGTGATGCAATTAAGAACAGGGACACTGAGAAGGAATACACTTAACATAGCATCAAAGCACTTACTTTTAGGAGCTACAGCTGTTTTCGATGCAACAGCACTGGTGCATGTATTTCTGAGCGCAGCTGGCTTGTTTGGACGACCATTTGCCAGAGTCGGAATTGACGAACGATCACTATCCTCTTGTTCATGGCTTGCATTGCCTTCATGTTCAGAATCCCCGGTGTTTTCGCCATCATTGTGATCTATGACCTCAGGATTATCACTTCCGCCACCGACATGAGTCTCATCACTTGTAGGATTTGTTTTGGCACCTAGGTGATGGTTAGGGTAGAGCACCTCTGCACAGAACAAGATAGGACAAACGGCCCACACGGCGTTTGCCACGATTGCCTCGTGCATTCACAATCACATTCATAATTAGGACTTCAGCGATCCACGAGTTTTCATAGTCAGTCTCAAGCTCAGGGTGTTTTGAAATAAGCTTTGAGAGCCCAAGTCAGTTAAAAATGCCAATGTGCAAGAGTGAAAGGGGCTAACTCTTCTAAGCATAACATTCCTTTGAGTTGTTGGCACCTCACCCCATGTAACCTCTCCAAGGGTATTGAGTGTGCGTGAGACTGCATGTCGGGCATCGCGCTACAGAAGATCATGTGAAAGTGAGATCTAGGCTCGGGGTTGGTTAACATACCAAAAGTTGAATATACTTGTTTCGTTCCATGCCAAGGGTCTCTTCTATGGAGTACTTTTTATGGTTTCCTTGGCCTCGTGGATCAGGAATCTTGATTTTCTGTGCAACAGAGCGATCCGCAGATTGGGTGAGTCCCATGAGTGTATGCTACACTTACCATAGCAACTGGAGGCATAATAAAAAGGGGAGTGTATCAATAGTCTGATGAGGGACAAAAGACATGTGGAAAGATGGAAAGACGTGTGGAAAGACACGCAAAAGATGTATGATAGGGTACATGTCAGATGAGGCTAATGACATTGGAATTCTGATGTTCATAGTTCATTTGCCATGAAAAGCGTGTTGTCTCACCAGTAGAGCAATATAACAGGCTAAGAGACCTTAATGAAGCATGTTTTTGTGCAAAGTACACAACAGTGTTTAAAGTGCGGAGGATAGATGGCAAGAGGTAAGATGCTCGGGAGTTGCCAAATGTAACTTAGGTGCCACAACTATCAACGCATCAGACCAGTGCTGCACTGTCCTAGAACATCAAAAGCTCTGAAGTATTCTATCTATTACTCATGGACTCCAAACAATCTACGTGTCCTTGCTGTGGTAAACAAGGTCTCTCCAAGCGAACTATCCGATGGCACCTCCAGCGACTAGAGCAAGATATATCAGACAATGAAATGATACTCTCTGGCAATGATGACTTAGTATCCAAGAGCAATTCTTCATCATACCTCTCAGATGATGCGATGAACATGTCCCTAGATATGGACAATTCCACCCCAAACATGCCACTCTCCAGTCATCATGATGAACCACCTTTGCCATCTTGCTGGAATGCATTAGACACCAATGAAATGTCAAACGAACCTGTCAACACACTGGCAGAAAAGTTTTCCAGGCTATCTCTTATACTGGAGTCACACTTTGAGCCCGAGATGGCTCCGGACTTGGAAGACAATGTGGATCCCCTGGCCCCACAAGGTGTAGATGAACCTTGTGAGACAGGCTATTGTCAGGGCACACCTGCCTGACCCGGCCCCACCTAACCCGGTCCCCCACCATCCGCTCCTCCCGACCTCCCCCTCTTTTCCCTTCCCTTTCTTCTTCCCCTTCTTTTCTATTCTCTCTCCTCTTTATTCCTTTCTTATCACACGGACAACTTCCTTTGTATCAATGTACCATTGACCCGGCTGCAGCGTAACGCGCCCGAACCCGGACACACCAGACGACCCCCCGCATACCGGATGCTCCTAGGACCTCTTATGGAGGTACCCGGACGGAGGTGGCTGTGTGCTTGGATGACGTGGCGCTTCCCACGTGGCCTTCAACCACATGTATATAAACACAGCCTAAGTGGGAACTGAGAAGCAACCTTCTTCTCACATTTCCCACTTTAGGCAAGTAGCTTACACTTCCCCTGATAATAACAATAACACATTTCCCACTTTAGTCTCAGTGGCCAGGGACCCTTGTCTGCTTCGGGCCCGTTGTTGCGTGTGCCTGCGTCATACCTACTGGACCCTCAGCCTCTGTCAGGGACGCATCCGGGGTAGAGGGGGCCCAGGTGAGACGCCCGACACTGGAAGTCTCGCAGGGGGTGGAGCGGGCGTGCGTACTGGCGGGCCCGGCTCAGGAGGCAGTCCCTGGCCACTTAGACTGAAGTGGGAAAGGATGTTATTATTATTAAAAGGGAACACTATGTTGCTTACCTGAAGTGGGAAAGGATGAGAAGAAGGCTACTTCTTCGGTTCCCACTTCAGGTATGTTTATATACATGCAGCTTAGGTCACATGACGGGTGCCATGTCATCCTCGTGTACAGCCGTAGTCACCCGGGTGTCCCCGTGGGGGATCCCGAGGGCGTCCGCTGTGAACGCGCGAGCTGGAGATAGTGGGGGTCGCCTGAGGCGCCCGGGCTGGGCGTGTCGTGAGCGCGCTGCGGGTGGGTCAATGGTACATTGATACAAGGAAAAGTCGTCCATGTAGAATAAGGAGAAAATAAAGAGAAGGTGAAATAAGTAAAGAGGGAGTGGAATGGAGAAAGAAGGAAAGAAAGGAGAGGGGGGAGGAGGTAGGGGAAGGCCGGGTGGCGGGGTACCGGGTGAAGTGGGGCTGGGTGGGGCCGGGTCAGGCAGGTGTGCCCTGACAGCCTCGGGCGATACACCCGGGCACTCTCGACCCCAGGTCGGTCCCTGACAGCTATGAATCTGGTGGTGATTCAGATGGGGACTCTTTGATGGGCTCGTCCTATGACCTGGGGCTGGATGAAGAACTCCGTGATATATATCGATTCAGTAAGTATCATGATTAATCTGCCACGCACCTTTCTTTGCATTCATGTGTAACTCTTGTCTTCTATTAGACATCGATTCAATCAAGATGTTCAACTTTATCAGAAACACAAACCTTCCACGGAAGGCTTATGCTCAACTTGCTAAATTCTGGGGCAGTCGCATCCACGTTGAGTCCCTATACAAGTTATTTCGCCATATTTTGGAGTTATCAAATATTGAGACCACAGTCTATGACTGCTGCATTAATAGCTGTTGTGCATTTACAGGGACCGATTACAAAACTGCCGAATTGTGCCCATATTGCCATGAACCTAGATTTGACAAGCACTGCCGGAGTCGAAACACATTTGAATACATTCCTCTTACATCTCGCATCAAATCCATGTTCCTCAACTGCAGTCTGACTGAGAGAATGACATACCGTTCGAACTTTGAATTCAACGCTGGCTGTTATGACGACGTCTTCAGTGGTTCTCACTACCAACATCTCACCTCCGAATATGTTGTTGTCGATGGAGTGAGACATCCCCATCTTTTCTTCAGTGATTCTCATGACATTGCTCTGGGTATCTTGACTGATTGTCATATCCATCCCCAGCTATCGACTTCCGGTCCCTCCGATCCCTCCAGTCTACCTCCGCTCCTTCTTCACTAACCTCGGAGCTCCCATATTCCGCAATCCCCTCGGTACCCCTCGATGGTCATCACCCCCTCCTTTCAATTTATTACCTACACCTCCCTAAGTACAGAGCCCCGAAGACTTCCGGACAGCTCCGACGTCCGCTAGCGCACTCCCGCCTCTGCTGGGCAATACACTCGCCTGCCCTGCAGAGCCCACCTTCAGGCCTATCCCTCCTTTCCGTTTCTGGGTTATCGCCTGCCTTTCCGTTAACCCCACGACCCGACTCGTTGGTAATATTCAGTTGGCTAATGTTTAACCCCGTTAGCTCCGCTCCGTTCGGCTCCGCCATTTGTGGACCCATCTTCGCTGTAACCATATATATATCCAACTTGTACAGAGGTTACACTTCAGTAATAAAATCGACTAGAGTTAACCCCCTTCAGTTCTGGTTGCCAGTTAGTAAGTTAGGGCATGGACGTGTTACTAGGCACAGCGCTCTTGGCATAAGTCGCTGAGGCCGAAGCCCTCCGCCATGGAGACTTTCCTTCGTCTCAAACCTGGTCTCTGACAGTATTTTATTACTCCCTGACTAGTACACGTCTTGTATGGCACCAAAAGTCCTTCGCACTCGTTCGCAACTACGCACATTAGTTCCCAACTCTGCCTCACCTTCCCCAGAACCCTCTCAGCCTGGTCCTAGTCGATTGGCGAGAAACCCAGTTGAGTTTCGAAGCTTTTCTAACCTTGAAACCCCTCTCCCATCGACTCCGATCATGTGCCCTGTTAGGAATCGATCACCAGTTGCAGATTCCGACTTTGGAGACACCACGGAACAACCCATAGACCCCGTCCACTTCTTTGGACTTGGTTCCGAGGTCCCTGACTTCGTCGATCCTCCTCCTGCTGATCCTCCCATCCCCACTGTCCCAACCACCGACAATGCCGAACCCACCTCCAACGTGGCTATCGCACAATTAGCCCAAGCCATTGCCAGCCTGGCTCATCACACTGGACGCCCACCACCACCACCATCCTCTGCTCTCCGGACCAAGGTCCGTGAGCCCAAACAGTTCGACGGAAAGGATCCCCGAGAACTCCGAGTATTCTTGGTCCAATGCGAGCTCAATTTCCAGGACCGTCCCCTCGCTTTTGCTAGCGACTGCACTAAGGTCATCTTTGCACAGTCCTACCTCAAGGGAATGGCCCTTGATTGGTTCGAGCCGGATCTACTATTCGATCAAAATTCTATGCTTCGTCCGCGATGGATGAATGATTATCAGGAGTTCGTTAATGAACTTCAAACTAACTTCGGCCCTCACGATCCTGTGGGCGACGCCGAGGTTCAACTGATGACCCTGGACATGAAGGATGGGCACCACATCAATAAATACGTCGTCGAGTTCAACCGACACACCTCTCAACTTCACGGTTACGGAGAAGCCGTGCTTCGTCTTTTTTCTACAATGGATTGCCGGAACGTATCAAGGACGATATTGCCAGAGTAGGTAAACCCTCTACTCTCTCTGAACTTTGCACCCTGTCCCAAACTCTCGATGCGTGCTATTGGGAGTGTAAATCGGAAGTTACACGTCATGCAAAACCTTCTTCCTCTAACGCTTTTGACAAGTCCACCGCCGCTTCTTGTTCCGACCCCATCCCTTCCTCCTCCTCTTTCAACTCCGCTTCCGGTAGTAGGCCTCCGAAGGACAATAAGAAGTCCGAGGCCAGCTCCACTAAACCGGACCTCTTGTCTAAACTCGGAGACAATGGCAAGCTCACGCCACAAGAGCGTAAGCATCATCTCGACGAGAAACTTTGTATGTTCTGTGGTCAGTCTGGCCACATGGTCAAGGACTGTCCCAAGTCTTCTTCTCACGCATCTAAGGCCCATTCGGCCCAGACCGAGGAGCAAGGATCCGCTTCCGCAGAAGCAAAAAATTAGTCCGCACCCCCGTGGACTCTGCATGGACCGGGGGTTGCGATCCTTCCTTCCATGCGCTCAAAGAAGTGTGTTTAAACGCGTCTTCCATTTCCGACTTATCCTCCCTCCATATTCCCATTTCTTTTTCTCTTTCAAATGGTCTATTTTCTCCTCTCAATGTTGACCCTTCGGTCAATGTTCTACCCGTTGTAGATAGTGTTGCTGATGTACCACTCTCTCCTCCACCCCCTCCGACTACTTCCGTAGATCGATCCACCTCTCTCCGCTTCTCTTCTTTCTCTTCTCCTGTTTTTCCTCCGTCCAATGTTAGGACACAAAATAAACTTTTCCACTCCTATGAGAACGTACCCGCACTCATAGACTCTGGGTCTTCAGACTGCTTCATCGACGACACATTCGTAAAAAAGTTGGCCTTGAAGACATACCAGATTAAACCCCTACAACTACGCCTATTTGACGGTAGCACCAACTCAATCATAACCCGTGCCGTTGATATTCCCCTCCGCTTCGCTTCCGGAAACATCACCCCCATGACTTTCTTTGTCACATCGCTGGATGGATCATGTTCCCTAGTCCTAGGACACAACTGGCTTACCTGCTACAATCCGTTGATTGACTGGGTCTCAAGCAGTATTACGTTCCAAACTTCCGAACCTACCAAGACAGTTACTCCGAGCTCTCCCCCATCGTCTCCGGCACCACTGCCGTCGTCCGACATCCAACCATCTGATGTTTCACCAGCACCTCAGTCACAGGCTGTTACTCCTCCATTACCATCTATCGAGTTCGTCAGCCGTTCCGCATTCGCAAAGGCTTGCCGACTTGAAGGATCGGTATCCTTCAGCCTAACCATCCCTTCCGAGGAAAGCCGCTTGAGGGCTGCCTCATCCCACACCGATTCCGTCGACCTCTCAGCCGTTCCGAAGGAGTATCACGAGTTCGCGGATGTGTTCAGTAAGAGCAAAGCCTTGACGCTGGCACCACACCGTGAGCACGACCTAAAGATCGACCTTGAGGAAGGCACCTCCCCACCCTTGGGTACCATGTACTCTCTCTCTCCTTCGGAACTCGAGGCCCTCCGGGCGTTCTTAGATGAACACCTGGCCTCCGGTTTCATTCGTCCCGCTACTTCCGCTCACGCGGCACCGGTCCTCTTCGTCCACAAGAAGGACGGATCCCTCCGTCTTTGCGTCGACTTCCGAGGGCTGAACAAGATCACCAAAAAGGATCGCTACCCACTTCCCTGCATCTCTGACCTCCTTGATGCACCTAGCCGTGCCACGGTCTATACCAGACTCGACCTCCGGCATGCTTACCACCTGGTTCGCATTGCAGCAGGTGACGAATGGAAGACTTCCTTCCGCATGCGCTATGGTTCCTATGAGTGGCTTGTCATGCCATTCGGTCTCACAAATGCACCTGCAGCTTTCCAGCGATTCGTCAACACGATCTTTGCCGACCTCTTGGACGTTTCTGTGGTAGTCTACCTAGACGACATCCTTACCTACTCGGAAGACATGGCTTCGCATCAGGAGCATGTCCGAGAAGTTCTTAGGAGACTCCGCAAACACGGCCTATACGCCAATCTGAAGAAATGCGAGTTCCATATGGACACTACGGAATATCTCGGTTACTGCCTCTCTCCTTCCGGACTCACCATGTCCATCGAGAAAGTCAAAGCCGTCCAAGATTGGCCCGAGCCCCGTAAAGTCAAGGATGTCCAATCCTTCCTTGGCTTCGCTAACTTCTATTGGCATTTCATCCACCAATACTCCGACATTGTGGTCCCCTTGACACGCCTCATGCGTAAAGGAGCCCCCTGGCTATTCTCTGATGATTGTCGCTCTGCTTTCAACACCTTGAAAGAAGCCTTCACTTCCGCTCCTATCCTCACACATTGGCTACCTGATGCCCCCCTCATTGTAGAAACCGACACCTCCGATTATGCGATCTCCAGAATCCTTTCCATTCGCTGTGATGACGGAGAGATTCGCCCCATCGCTTTCCGCTCTAGAACACTCTCGGCGCCGGAGCTCAATTACGACACCCATGACAAGGAACTACTTGCCATTCATGATGCGTTCCGATCATGGCGTCATTACCTTGAAGGTTCAGGAACCCCAATCGACGTCGTCACCGACCACAAGAACCTCAAGTATTTCTCCACCACCAAACTCTTGACCTGGCGGCAAGCCCGCTGGTCGGAGTTCCTCTCCCAATTCCACATGACTGTCCGATTCCATCCCGGAAGACTCGGAGTTAAACCAGATGCGTTGACTAGACACTGGGATGTCTATCCCAAAGAAGGGGATATGGACTATGCTCACGTCAATCTGCAGAACTTCCGACCAGTCTTCACTTCAGAGCAGCTCACTGCATCCTTACGAGCTACGTTCCTAGCTGCCACAGTAATCTGAGCAGCCGTACTCGTTGACACAGAGGCTCTTCATCGAGACATCCTAGCCTCCCTCTCCTCCGACACCACAATCTCTTCTCATCTCGCTTCCCCCAACCTCCCCAATTCCCGCTGGTCCGTTGATGCCGAAGGCCTGTTAAGGCTGGACAACCGCATTTATGTCCCGGATTCTAACGACCTCCGTCTCCACGTTTTGCGAGACAAACATGACCACCAACTTTCCAGACACTTTGGTCAAAACCGGACTCTGGATCTAGTACGTCATGAGTATACCTGGCCGGGCATCCGTAACTTCGTCAAGAGTTACGTATCCTCCTGCACTTCTTGTGCCCGTGCCAAAGTCCCCCGTCATAAGCCTTACGGCTTACTCAAACAACTCCCCATCCCCAAACGTCCTTGGAACTCCATCTCCATGGATTTCATCGAACAGCTACCCTCCTCTTCCGGATTCACTTCCATCTTGGTCGTCGTGGACCGCCTGTCCAAACAGTGCATTTTCATCCCTACCCACGATACCATCACCTCTCCGGAACTGGCCAAGCTCTTCCTCCTCCATGTGTTCTCCAAGCATGGAGTTCCATCCCACGTCACCTCCGACAGGGGTCCGGAGTTTGTCTCTCATTTTTTCCGTTCACTTGGTAAGGTCCTCGACATCCGCCTCCACTTCACCTCCGG